AACTCGGGCTTTCCAGGCCCTTTCGAAGTCCTTGTCATAACACATATTTTTTTTTAGGGAAAATTGTGTAAAAGTACACTTTATCCTACTTATTTGTGTAAGAGTACATCAATATAAAATATTAGTACATAAGTACCTTTATGTGTAAATGTTTGGTGAAGAGCTACATTTTTGCGGAGTTGTAATTTTTTTTCTTACGAAATTGTCATTTTCCTTTATTAGTGGGAGACAAATATGACAGTTATATTAAAGATTCAATTTCTTAAATTTATGGAATATCATTTTTGAATTTTAAATTATATTTTTCTCTTTCATTCAACTTAAGTTATTCAAACTTTCATTTTTATTCAAACATTCATGTATTTTCTTTTTCATATTTGTATAATTTTTTTTTTTAAATCGTAATAATCAAGATGAAGATTTTGATTCAGAGGATGATTTGTTGTCTTGCACAATAATGTTACAGTGTTATAAGACAATGTCACACTAGTACTAGAAAATGTCATACTGCTACAAATCAAATTTACACTACTACAATGTCGTCTATTTTAAAAAAAATCATTGCGGTCTCTTAAAGTCAATAACGTTCATCTGAGGATAAATGCCAATGATGATGAGTCAAATGGGGATGATCGTAATAATCAAGATGATGATTCTGATTTAGATGATGATTTGCTGTTTCGCACGATAATGTCACAGTGCTATAAGATAATATTACAATGGTGTTAAAAAATGTCACAGTGTTACAAACCAAATTCACACTGCTAGAAACCAATGTCACATTGCATATATTGACATGACACATATCACAATGTATATAGCCTCTTTGGTTTTTTTTTTGGCAAATGATCGAACACTTGGTGTGCATGTAGTATCAAACACTAGAAGTCGAAAGGTAATTGAGAAAAAAAAAAGTAAATAAAATAAAAACGTTTGGAGAAACAACATTTTTCTTGAGTTATCAACTTCTTTTTTAAAAAATTCAACCACTTTTATCCTTCTGCTACAGTCACTCCCATTCAAACCCTTATCTAAATTGTTCTCACCCAGATGGACCCTTTACTGAAACCATTTTGCCCTTTAATGTAACCAAGAGATGTTAATGAATCGGATTTCAATCTATATCTAAGATCGTGTGATTGAGTTGGTTCTTCGTTGCTAAAAAAATTTATAACCACTCTCATCCGTCTGCTATAAAGGTGAAGATTTGGATAGTGAAGTTTTGAAAAGATTCTTTATTCAACAACGATTAACATAAAATTTTAAACATCTAAAAGGAAGTTTTATGCAAGTTTTTGGAAGAATGAAGTTTCCGACGATATTGAAGGAATTTATGTGTAACTGTTGAGATTCCTTAAGTTTCGATTGTAGAAACAAAAATAGAGAAATCGGTTCTCATTCTACTGAAGAGGGTATTTTAAAGATTTGTTAGGGGTTGTGTATTTTTTTGACCTATATTTTTAAAAATAGTACTTTTTGCCCTATAATTTCTAAAAATGGTACCGGCTCCCTTAAAACTCTTTTTTTTTTGGAAGTCTTTTTCTCAACAACAAAAAAAAAGAACATATCGTAATTAGTACGTTACGTACAGGAGGCTAAGAGTGCAACTTGGGTTGGGCAACCCGATTTTAACCCGAGCCCAACTTGGAAAAATTAGGGTTTTGACAAGGGTTTTTAATATTTTGGTTGGCTTTGGTCAAAAAACTCCAACCCGAATTCAATTTGAGTTGGGCTCGGGTTAAGACCTCGTGAATCTGAGTTCAACCCGAACCCGAAAAATTAAAAAAAAAATTATATATATACTGGTTTTTAATTTTTGTTCTATCGTTTTTTGTTTCTCTTGTTCTCTTTGCTTCTTTCATTAAAAACTTGGTTGAAGTTATTGGTTGTTAATTTATGTAAATATTATGTAATATATGTATTAGATTTAGAATAACAAGCCTATTTTGGACTCTACCTGAATTGAACCCAAAATCAACTCGAAATCATTAATTTGAATTCAATCCGAGTCCGCCCGAATTAAACTCGGACAGTACTCGGGTTGAGTTCTCCAACCCGAGGTAGGGTTAGAATTAAGATTAGAGTTATGATTAAAAATTATATACCTAAGATTAAGTTAGGATAAATTGTCCAACCTATCCAAATTGCACCCGACAAGAGGCCACGGAAGCCGTCCTCCAAAGTAGATGGAATATTTCAAAGGCTTTTTGCTTTGACTTTCTATTTGTTTGAACAAAATTGATAGAAAAAACCTCCCCCAATGGGCAAACACATGAGATGTTCACTTACCTAGATGCCAGCAATCCTGCCCAAAACTATCGATCTATAACAATTAAGTTTAATATTTGATGACACAAATATCTCAAATTTAATATTTCACATATACTCTAAAAGTAATTAATTTTATTTTTCATGGAACATGTTATAAGCTCATTCGTGGTACGGCACAAGATGAATTTTCCTAAATATATAAACCTAGTGGGGTTGACTTGATCTCGTCGTACGACCATTAGTTGGCATAATATATGTGAATGTGACGATGACAGCTTCTTATAGCACTGATCCGGACCGGGATATACTAGACTGCACTGCCAAACAGGCACGCACTTCCCTAATCCTCACCTACAAATCTATTATATTTAATTTCTTTTAAGAATAAATACACTAAGACCCCTAAAATATGCCCTTTTTTTATGTTATTTTCTAAACTATCTATTTTCTCTCACCTTTAGTTATTATTATTTGAGTTTAAATTGTCAATGATTGAGACAATGCTTTAGTGGGAATAATTGTAAGAGACATCGACGATAAGGTAGTGGATGGTATAACCAAAACATGTACCAGCCATATTATGCTTGTATTCTGAAACAACAATAGTATGGCAAGCCTACCTTCTTGCATATACCCTACACCTACAATAGGCTACCATCAAGAGTGACTATTCTGAAGTTATTAGACTCAGTTCAATTGAAGAAGTACCTACCTGGGAAGTCAGCACCTTCTTTGAAGACATCAAGAACTTTGCCAGAAATCTTATAATCTGAAGTTTCGACACAAGCACAGAGCTGATAGTAGGACAGTATCTATAATGACTAACCTTCTTTCTTTAAGTTTAGTTACCCACCACCCCGAGCTTTAAGACTTTCTTAATTTCTTTTCATGTTCAAAAAAAAAAAAAAAAAAA